GGCAAACTGTCTGGCCAACTCATGTTAGTCTCTTGGGCCATCTTTAGCATCCTGTTTTTTTAGAGTCCCATTCATCCTTTCTACTTTCCCACTGCTTTGAGGGTGATAGGGGGTGTGTAAGGCCAACTCAACCCCCAGTGCTGTCCAAATCTCTGTCGTAAGGGTTGCTGTGAAGGTTGGACCCTGATCACTCTCTATCACCTCTGGGATCCTAAATCTACAGACTACCTCACTCAGTAGTTTCTTAGCCGTGGTCTTGGCTGTTATGTTTGTAACAGCATAGGCTTCTGGCCAACCAGAGAACATGTCCACCACCACTAGGGCATATTCATATCGTCCACTTTTTGGCATCTGTATATAATCAATCTGTATCCTCTGGAATGGATAGAGGGGTTTTGCCAGATGTTTCTGCGGTGTCTTTTCCGTCCTCCCCGGGTTGCATTTTGCACATACTACACACGAGGCTCAGTAATTTCTGGTTAAGGTGGTTATCCCTGGAGCCCAGTAATACTTGCTGATCAGTGAGTTCATTAAGTTCTTAGAGAGATGTGCATGTCCATGCGCCCATTGGACAATTGCTGGATACATATGTTTTGGTAAACAAGTTTTTCCTTTCATCGAATACAATTCTCCATCGTAGTCTGCTCCTTTATCAATCCATTCCAGCCTTTCCTCTGTATAAGCAGCTATTTGCATAGAAATCAGGTATTGCTTGTCTGATGGCACATGCACTGCCAAAAGTATCTGTACTGAGGTGCTTGAGCAGCAAAGACAGCTCTTAGAGATGAAGGACCACCCCTAGCTACGGGATCCAAATGACAAGAATAGTACCCAATGGGCCTAATTTGCCCTCCATGTTCTTGAGCTAGGACCCCTGTGGTGTGACCCTGCTTTTCTGACACAAACAGTTTGAAAGGTTTCTCATAATCTGAAAGTCCCAAGGCAGGAGCGGTGGATATTGCTTGCTTCAACAGAATAAAATTGTCCAGGGCCTCACTTGACAAGGTAAATAACACAGACTTGAGAGCATCATAGAGTGGTTTGCATGAGGACCGATGCATCAGGGATTCATGTCCTGCAGTAGGATATAAGTCCAAGAAAGGCATGCAGTTGTTCAGCTGCTTTAGGTTGGGGAATATCCTGGATTACAGCTACACGGTCCCCCAGTCTTGTTTGCGGATACTGCCATAAGGGGTGACACAGGTTTGCCCTTTTCCCAACGAGAGTTGGGGCGTGGTGGTTGATGTTCGCATTGCCCTTCCCGGGGGTCCCTGTCTTGTCTGGGATATCTTGGGGCTCTGCATTCTCTTCTAAAATGTTCCCATTTTTCACAGTTATAACATATGGTCCTTTCCCTGATATTTGGCAAAGGTGGTGGACGAGTGTAGGTGGGATCTTCGTCATTGACCACCATAAGGGGCGCTGGGTTTTTTTTTTTTTTTTCCCTTTTTGGTTTTCTATGCCTCTGGCCACCAACAGTAAGTCAGACATCTTCATAGAGCGGTATTCAGGGCGGGGCCACCATCAGACCTTTCCTAATATCCTCTTTGAGCCATGAGACAAAAGCAGTTGAGAGCATGTGTGTGTGTGCCTTTTCATATTGAGAGAAGCCCAGATCATCAAAGGCCTGTATGAGTCTGGCATAATACTTCTCCACAGACTCCCCTTTATCTTGGGTGATGTGTTGAATGGTGGTAGTCTGATCCGCCAATTTCTCCTTTGCCCAGTCATGGAGCTGGGCACAAAACTCCACGCCTGAAGAATAGGAAATAACACTTGTCAGGCAGGCATCATTGAAGACCATCTGCATAACTGGCCAGAAAACATGTCCTGCTTTAATTTGGCATAGACTGAGCAGGTCTTTCCAAGCAGCTGAGTAAGTTTCTTGTATCTGCACTACCTTGCGATAAAAGGGTATTGGCTGTTTCTCTGGGTCAGGCAGACTCGTCACTAAGGCCGCTGCTTTTGATGGGGTAAAAGCGACATACATTACCGGTGCCCCTTCCGGTAATCTTGAATGTCGGTGTTGTCTTGTGTACTGTTCCTGTTTAGGTTGTACTCCACTGTGCGTGGGTTTGGGAATCAAATCTATTGGCGCCTTTGTTGCTTGCAACTGTTGATCACTCCATTCAGATGCATCGTCATTCAATTGGACATCTGACATAGGTTTTGGAGTCATACCTATCGGTATCCTTCCTGCTTGAGGTTGTTGATCATCCGACTCGAATACATTGTCATTCATGTATCCGGCTTGTGAAGGTGACACTTCCATATTGGGGAAAACGGGAGTGTGGTAGGAACCATCCTGGTTTAGAACAGGGAGAACTAGATAAACTCCTTTTTTATGCCTTCCGGGTGTACCAAGATGGCCGCCAGACGGAAGTGCACTGGGCAGGGCTGGGGTAATGGGAATAAAGTAGGCATTAGACAAAGGGCAGGGCTGTCCCTCCCCTCCTCCGCCCCACATTCCAACATAGGGCGGTGGTTTTAGCACACTTCCTTTTACAATTTTGTGATACAAATACATTATACAATTGCCATTTTCTTGAATTTCTTTCAACTATCCTTCTTTATGCAACACTTTTCCAGTTCTGTACAAAACTTCTGTCACGTTCAGCAAACCTTTATCACATAACATTCCTCTCTGTTCCTACAATGATTTATGCCAATCCTGACCTTCAGTTTACAAACTTTTGCTACTTTAGATAACTTTTTAACTGCTTCACTTCCTTCTCTCCTCTTTACAATATCACATACTAATAATCCTTTCTGTGGCTTGACTGTCTTCTGACCCATCTTCCCCCTCTCTCTGGGTCACCCAACTTCTCACTCTGTTCTGTTCTTTCACCGTAGTCTCAGCTAACGGTTTCAGAGGCAGCGAGGGCAACTATTAAATTAATATCCCTATTCCGCTGCTTCAGAGGCAGCGCGGGCAACTATTAGATTAATATCCCTATTCCGCTGCTTCAGAGGCAGCGCGGGCAACTATTAGATTAATATCCCTATTCCGCTGCTTCAGAGGCAGCGCGGGCAACTATTAGATTAATATCCCTACTCCGCTGCTTTCTGTCTTATCTCAGAACAAACAGTGATTCACAAATACACTCAGAACAGGACATTACACCTGCCGCCCCTCACTCCGTGAAGCCTCAGCAGCTGAACTAAACCCTCAGGGGTCTCACACCGTCAACCCCGAGTCACCGACCGAAGACGCTTGTTGCAAGGTTCCGTCTTCCAGGGGCCCACAGCTCACCTGGTCAGGACACTCATTGCAACATATTGCAAGGTTCCGTCTTCCAGGGGCCCACAGCTCACCTGGTCAGGACACTCATTGCAACTTATCTATCACTCTACTGAGTTATCACAGTCGCACAGGACGACAGACACTGAACAAATACACAGTCAGCAGAAATCCAGTGGCAGGTTCATTAAACAGCCCCAGGCGAGCAATAAAAATTACCTGCCGCTCTTGATGACCTCTGGAAGCCGACAAAACTGGCGCCAAGGCTGGACAGAAACAAATCGTACAGTGGTAAGTATAAAAAGTACCTACCGTACTCTCAGGGGTGCGCAAATCCCTTTTGGTCTGTCCCAGCCAGCCGCTCAGTCCCTCACGCGGCCTTCCATCGATCAGAACCTGGGGCCCCTCGTTGGGCAGCCAGCTAAAAAGGTTGGGAGAACCACAATCGGGCTCAGGGTAGGATTTCTGCTGCTGCTCCTAATTTTGAGATATGGATTGCGTGCACGCCGGAAAATAATTACACGGACAACTGTCCAGTACAACCACTTTCACATCATCTCATCTCTGTTTATTGCAGGGCGGTGCTTAACCTTTTATACATAGAAAACAATAGAGTATACGTCACTATTGCGTATATACAGTCACATTCTAAAAGGCACATTTTGCTTGGTTGAAATATAGGAGAAATGTAGAAACTTGATGCTTGCTTCTCATCCCGTTATCTCTTCACCCCCCCCTCACATTCCCAAAGTAAAAGGTCCTCTCAGTGCGAAGGGAGGGGTTGAGAACATTGCTCTGAGCAAAACAAGTTAAGGAGGACTGCAAAGCCCAGCAGACAAAATATATATATACGCACAACACATATATTTAGAAATATAAAAAAGTATAAAAGTAAATATGTATAAAATGTATATTTTAAACAGAAAACAGAATAGGCATTTTACCAAATCCATCACAACATGACATCACTTTTATCTCTATTAATAAAACAGACCTGACCGGAGAGGTGAGGAGGATTCTGGGAGGTCACATGACGTCACTCTTATCTCTATTAATAAAACACACAGCTGACCGGAGAGGTGAGGAGGATTCTGGGAGGTCACATGACGTCACTCTTATCTCTAGTAATAAAACACACAGCTGACCGGAGAGGTGAGGAGGATTCTGGGAGGTCACATGACATCACTTTTATCTCTATTAATAAAACAGACCTGACCGGAGAGGTGAGGAGGATTCTGGGAGGTTACATGACGTCACTCTTATCTCTATTAATAAAACACACAGCTGACCGGAGAGGTGAGGAGGATTCTGGGAGGTCACATGATGTCACTCTTATCTCTATTAATAAAACACAGACCTGACCGGAGAGGTGAGGAGGATTCTGGGAGGTCACATGACGTCATTCTTATCTCTATTAATAAAACACAGACCTGACAGAAGAGGTGAGGAGGATTCTGGGAGGTCACATGAGGTCACTCTTATCTCTGTTAATAAAACACAGTTGTATATTAACATATAATTGATTTTTTATATACAGGAATGCTCTTTAGTGAAAAAATCTTCAGGTGACCCCAAGCATGGATCCTCCATTTCTCTCTGTGGCACCTGAGCAAAACAACAACAAAAAGATCCTAGAAGTCACCCAGAAGATGATGGAGCTGCTGACAGGAGAGGTGAGCGGTGCCGGGAATTCTGGGACATTCTCCAGTAACAGACAAGGGATGTGTCTGGATGGTGACTGTATCATTGTGTGTGTCAGGTTCCTATAAGGTGTCAGGATGTCACTGTCTATTTCTCCATGGAGGAGTGGGAGTATCTAGAAGGACACAAGGACCTCTACAAGGACGTCATGATGGAGGACCAGCCGCCGCTCACATCACCGGGTAAGAGGAGACTTTCATTTCTTATATTGAGGATCCACCTAGATACACACATCCTCTGATATAAAGACATATTTTTGGCCCCCATCTAGAAGTTCTGTTTGTCCCCTCTGACTTTGGGGTGACCACTTCCCCTGTTGCATTCTCTAGATCACTGGTGCCTAACCTGCAGCCTGAGTGGCCCCTGCAGATACAGATCTGTTTTTCCTCATTGCCCTCTTTTTGTAGTGAATCTTGCAGTCTCATATGCCTACTGAAGCATGTCCCCACTCTCCAACAACTCCCACAGCATGTCTGCAGTCTCTGGCCATCTCTTGCATCCTATCTACAGCCTCCTGCCTCTCATCTCTTGTATTATGTCTGCAGTCTCTGACTATCTTCTATACCATGCCTGCAGTCTCTGACCATCTCCTATACTAAGCCCACAGTCTCTGACCATTTCTTGTATCAGGTCTGTTGTCTCTGACCATCTCCTCTGCCATGCCCACAGTCTCTGACCAACTTCTATACTATGCCCACAGTCTCTGACCATTTCTTGTATCATGTCTGTAGTCTCTGACCATCTCCTATACTATGCCCACAATCTCTGATCATCTTTTGTATCATGTCTGCAGGCTGTGACCATTTGTTATTTCATATCTGCATTCTCTGACCACCTTTTATACTATGCCCACAGTCTCTAATCATCTTTTGTATCATGTCTGTAGTCTCTGACTATCCCCTATACCATGCCAACAGTCTCTGACCATCTCCTATACCATGCGTGCAGTCTCTGATCATCTTCTATATCGCCCGAAATCTCTTCCCATCTCCTATAGCATGCCCACAGTCTTTGATCATCTCTTGTGTCATATCTGCAGTCTCTGACCTTCTCCTATACCATGCCCACAGTCTTTGACCATCTCTTTTGTCATATCTGTAGTCTCTGACCTTCGCCTATACCATGCCCACAGTCTTTGACCATCTCTTGTATCATATCTGCAGTCTCTGACCTTCTCCTATACCATGCCCACTTTGTGACACACCGGAGGATGCACGCGGGCCTCAAACCTTTCCTGTGCTCCTACTGTGTTCCTCGAGTGTTTCCAGCACTGGGCGCAGCTGGTCGAGCATCGGAGGATCCACACGGGAGAAAAGCCCCACTCCTGCTCCGAATGCGGAAAGTGTTATTCCGAAAGGGCCATGCTCAACCGCCATCACCAAAGGACCCATGGCAGCAAACCGTATTCCTGCCCCGAGTGTGGGAAAGGCTACACGGAAAAGTCAGTCCTGAACCGGCATTGGAAGACTCAGTCGGACGTCAAGCCGTTTCTCTGCCTGGAGTGCCAGAGATCGTTCGCCGACGAGTTTCTGCTAAAGAGACATCGTCGGGTTCACAGCAAGCCATTCTCGTGTGGGGAGTGTGGGGAGTCTTTTCCGTTTAAGTCGCATCTCGCAAAACATGAACAAACGCACGTCGCTGGCAATCCAGTTATCCAGTTCGGAGAGGGTGGAGCTGATCTCTCTGGAACCAATTGGCACGAAGAACAGATCCCAATTGGCACATATCATAGAACAGATCCCAGTGTTAACTGCATTCTGCTGTGCCGTGGTTCTCCATGTGTTCTCCTTCTTCATTCTCTTCATCTCTCCTTCATCTTCAGTTACACAGGGGGTTGTCATGGTGGATTCCTCACAGAAAGCTAAAGATCAAGGTACAACAAAAAAACATGAAGAACAATTATAGGAAGGCCGTTGCCCAAGGTGTTGTCATGGCAGACTCCTCACAGATATCTAAAGATTAAGGTACAACAAAACAGTGTGAAGATTAATTATTGGAAGGCGTTTACCCAAGGGTGTTGTCATGGAAGACTCCTCACAGATACCTAAAGATTAAAGAACAACAAAACAGTGTGAAGATTTAATTATTGGAAGGGGGTTGTCATGGGGGATTCCTCACAGATAGGTAAGGATCAAGGTACAACAAAACAGTGTAAATATTACTTATAGGAAGGCAGTTACCCAGGGTATTGTTATGGGTGCCTTATTAAATGATTTTTGTAAGCCATGTTCCTCAAGAGGCCATTCCTAGCATCTTCTTAGGTTTCATGGTGTTGTCAAGGTGAACTGTAAATTTCTTAGTTATAGAAACTGAACAATAAATACATCCATCAAGCCTAAAAATGTTTGCATTCTTGGATAACCAGGTTAACCCACAGAAATTAGACGTACCCATAATTCCATTTCCAGAAATCCTCCATGACAACACCCAGGGTAATTGTCTCCCTAGAGTTAATATTTGAGCTGTTTCGTTGTACATTGATTTTTGGATATCTCTGAGAAATTCTCAATGACAGCATTCTGAACTATTGCCTTCTTATAATTAATCTTCATGCTGTTTTGTTGTATCTTGATCGTTAGCTATCTGTGAGGAATCCCCCATGGCAACACCTTGGGTAACCGCCTTCCTATAATTAATCTTCACACTTTTTTGTTGTACCTTGATCCTAACTATCTGTGAAGAATCCCCTATGACAACACCCTTGGTAGCCACCTTCCTATAATTAATTTTTATGCTATTTTATTGTACCTTGATCCTTAGCTGTCTGTGAGGAATCCACCATGACAACACCCTGGGCAACTGCCTTCCTTAATCTTCATGCTGTTTTGTTGTACCTTGATCTTTAGCTATCTGTGAGGAATCCCCCATGACAACACCCTGGGTAACTGCCTTCCTATAATTAATCTTCACTCTGTTTTGTTGTACCTTGATCTTTAGCTATCTGTGAGGAATCACCCATAAGAACACCCTGGCTAACTGCCTTCCTATCAGTAATATTTATGCTGTTTTGTTGTACCTTGATCCTTACCTATCTGTGAGGAATCCCCCATGACAACACCCTTGGGTAAACGCCTTCCAATAATCTTTACACTGTTTTTTTGTACCTTAATCTTTAGATATCTGTGAGGAGTCCCACATGACAATACCCTGGGTAACCACCTTCCTATAATTATTCTTAATGCTGTTTTGTTGTACTTTGATTTTTAGCTTTCTGTGAGGAATCCACCATGACAACACCCTGTGTAACTGCCTTCCTATAATTACTCTTGATACTGTTTTGTTGTACCTTGATCTTTAGCTTTCTGTGGGGAATCCACCATGACTACACCCTGGGTAAACGCCTTTCTATAAATAATCTTCATGCTGTTTTGTTGTACCTTAATTGTTAGCTATCTGTGAGGAATCTTCCATGACAACACCCTGGGTGATGCCTCATAATCATTTTTCAGGTTGTTATGTTGTACCTTGATCTTTGACTATCTGTAGGGAATCCCCCATGACAACACTTTGGGTAGGCGTCTCGATATGTGAGGAATCCTCCATGATAACATCCTGGGTAACTTCCTCACAGATAGCTAAAAATTAAGTTACAACAAAAATACCTCGAAAATTAATCAGAGGTAGTTGGCTACCCAGGGTGTTGGCATGGGCAAATCCTCACAGAGGGACAATCATCGAGATACAACAGTACAGATTTATTATAGGGAGGCAAATTCTCAGGGTGTTGTCATAGGGGATTCATCACAGATAGCCAAAGATGAAGGTACAACAAAATGAGATTCTTCAAGATGTTTGTTGTACCCTGATCTTTGGTTATCTGTGTGGAATCCCCCATGACAACACTTTGGGTAACCACCTACCTATATTTAATCTTCAAGTTGTTTTGTTCCACCTTGATCTTTGGCTATCAGTAATCCCCTATGACGACACTTTGGGTAGGTATCTCTAAATGTGAGGAATCCTCCATGATAACATACTAAGTAACTTCCGCCCTATAATTAATCTTCAAGTTGTTTTTGTTGTACCTCGATCTTTAGTTATCTGTGTGCAATCTCCCATGACAACACCCTGGGTAACTGCCTCCCTGTAATTAATTTTCATGTTTTTTTTGTTGTACCTTGATCTTTGGTTATCTGTGAGAAATCCACCATGACAACCCTTTGGGTAGGTAGCCACCTACCTATATTTAATCTTCAAGTTGTTTTGTAGCACCTTGATCTTTGGCTATCAGGAATCCCCCATGACAACACCCTGGGTAACCACCTCCCTATAATTAAGCTTCACGTTGTTTTGTTGTACCTTGATCTTTGGTTATCTGTGAGAAATCCACCATGACAACCCTTTGGGTAACCACCGACCTATATTTAATCCTCAAGTTATTTTGTTGTACCTTGATCTTTAGCTATCTGCGAGGAATCCCCCATGACAACACCCTGAGTAACCACCTCTCTATAATTAACCAAAGATTAAGGAGGTTGTTCAATCAGTATGTTTGCCATTCAGGGAACACTTTGAATTTTCTCAATGAATGTAAAGCATCCTCTGATTGGATGAGGTGGATAGGAGGGGTGGTGAGGTGACATCACAAGCTTCACCTTGTCCAGTCATGGACCCCCTTCTGAGCAAGCAGCCTCCTGTGTCCAGTAAGCATCAGGGAAGCCGCTCAGCACAGGACCCAGAATCTATCTGGAATCCCTGTAGTGGTGGTTGGTCCATGCTGGTCCAATGTATCTATGTAAAAATTGCCATACCTAATTTTCAGCTTTAAAGGAGAAGTGTGTCACATAATTGCCCAGTTCTCGGGCTTATGCAGGCCATACATGGTTCGAATCCCGAACGATTTTTCGTCCGAAAATCGTAAACGGCGTTCACTCGGTAATCCGATGGTGCCATCATTGATTCAAAAAATCGGCCAACCAAGTCATAAAGTTCACCCCATATAACAGGCAAAACTTCAGTTCCTTCCAGATCACGGCTTATGAGCATATTCTTTTTGGAAAAAATGATCATACGATTTGACCATCATTGAGTCGAAAATTGGTCGTTTTTTCACGAACTTTCCAACATGCCAGGTCACCGAAAAAGGGGAGGAGCCACTAACATCGGCCGGTGCCAGTGACCCACTAACAGAGCGAAAATCGGCAGATTTTCGGACGAAAAATTGGTCGATTTTTGACCCATG